TACATTTTTTTTATAAGTGATATCTGTTGAAGAGAGTATATTGTATGTAAATTACATCAAAGGGTATTAAGGTAAATACACTTTATGTAATTGATTGTTTGATTCCTTTTTCTATTCTAGAAACTTGTATATATAGGACTATGATGTTCAGAGTTCTAGGAAAAAAACCACAGACCTCTCTCACAAATTTTAATAGGCCTTTATTACCTAAATAATTCACAAAACTCTTAAAGGATCAAGCTTCATTGTTTGCCACCACCATCCAGCCGCTAGCTTCAAGACCAACCTTCATTGTCGGCGGCAGAATCCTTCAGCCGTGCCTCCAGCTATGCTCATCTCTATCCAGCTGAGCATGCGGCACTTTTTTTGCTTGATGTCTAATTGGCTTTGTTGTTGCTCTGCCCGCCGCACCACCCACAAGCATCTGCCCACATGTGGGTCAGCCCTCTGCCGCGTCTCCTCTACATGGCCGAACCTGTACTGCATGTAGACATCCACCATAAATTCCTGCAGCACATGCCACCTGCTACTATCCACCACTAATCGTGCCACCAGCCGAAGATCTGCCTTTCTGCTGCAGCAGTTGCCACAGTAGCTGGGAAACAGCCGGCTGTAACTTTGATTTGAAACTCCAGGAATTCAATGCAAAAAATGCCTTCTTGCATGGAGATGTGGAAGAAAGAAATCTGCATGGAGATCTCAACAGGTTTTGCCAGAGAAACAGGACCAGTTGTAGTCTATAAGCTGAAGAAGACACTCTATGAACTCAAGCAATTGCCTAGAATATGGTTTGACAAATTTGCATGGATGGTGATAGGCTTGGGATGTAAGCAGGCGCTGGGAGACCACACTTTGTTTATTAAGCACTCAGGGACATGAGAAATTATAATGCTCTTAGTATATGTTGATGACATTATTGTAATAGGAGATGATGAAAAAGAAAAACTGATGTTAAAGCAATACATGGTAAAAGAGTTTGAAATCAAGGAGTTTGGTAAGTTGAAGTATTTCCTTTTAATTTATCTCCCCCGCTTAAAATCCGAATCTTCATGTTTCAACAAAAATATCTCCGTGTAAACCAACTAGTATTCATATTGATCCCAATCATTAATTGAGAGTGGTAAAAGAAGATACTCAGCAGATAAAGATATACATCATAGATTGGTTAGGGGACTAATATACCTGTTCCACACTAGATCAAACATTGCCTATGCAATAAGTATTATAAGTGAGTTCATGTATAATTCTAAAGAAGTGCACTTACAAACAGTTTACAAAATATTGCGTTATCTAAAAAGGTCATTTGGGAAAGGAACTCAGAAAGAGTGACAGGTTACTCCTAGAAGCCTACATGAATGCATATTATGCAGAATTAATGGTGGACATAAAATCTATCTTAGGTTATTGTATCTTCCTTAAAGGTAACCTAGTTACCTGGAGAAGTAAGAAATAAAATGTAGTTATAAGGTTAAATGCATAATCATTGTTTCGAGCAATCACTCAAAGGATAGGTGAATTATTATAGCTAAAAAAATTTAGGAGATATGGAAATTAAGTGGGAGAACCCTATGCGTTGATACTGGAGTAGTAAACTAATCACAAGTATTGTATACAATCCGATACAATGTGACCGAATATATTGAGGTTGATAGACAGTTTATTAAAGAGAAACTCGATATCGACCTAATATATTCTCTACACATGTCCACTAATTCATGGCTAGCAGATGCATTGACCAAGAACTTGATCAATTCAAAATTTCAAACTACCATTAACAAGTTGGGAATTAATAATATCAATTCCCTAGCTTGAGGGGGAGTGTTAAAGAAAATGTATTGTATGTAAATTAGGTTAAAGAACATTGGGGTAAAATACATCCCATATAATCAATTCTTTATTTTTATTTCAAAAAAATCAATTGTTTATTTCTTTTTCTTATTCTAGAAAATATATATATATAGGTTGATAGTACACTTTTTTGTATAATTGGTATCAATTAAAAGTATATAAAAATAATGCTGGAGCCATGGTCTCTGTCATAGCTCGCAGGTGCTGTTGCATATTCAAGGTGATCTTAGAGATGACCTTCCTCATTTCAGGAGTTTCTATGAGGTTGATTGTTGTAAAATTGGTTACAGAAAAAAACTGGTATTGCAAAGCTAGCTGATCTATCAATATAAGGTTCTTCAATGTTGTGTTCTTAGTCAATTTTGTTTAACCAGAGTAGAGAGAAGATCATTTGTGTTCAAGAATATATTACTACTCAATCAAGATGTCTATTGGTGTAGGTGCTCCAAAAATTTTGATGTGGGTGTATGTAAAAATATGCTTTACATTAAGGAAAATGTTGGAGAGAGTGTAGTCAACCATCATGTCTAACATTTTCTGTCTAGAATGTTGTATGTTGTCTTTCACTGTTTGGTAATTGATTCAAGTGTGTGCATGCGTGTGACAGGTTGCAGGATGTAGTGCACAGTGAGAAACGTCTATATTTGGTTTTCGAGTACTTGGACTTGGATCTGAAGAAGCATATGGACTCATCTCCAGAATTTGCCAAGGACCCAAGACTGGTCAAAGTGAGTGCAGTTTTTTTCCCTCTCTCTCTCTCTCTCTAGAAATTAGTATGTTGTTGATTTGGTAGTAGTTAGCAATACTAAATGGCTTTGATACTCTTTAAGGTTGGTGCTTAGAAAGAGATTTTGGTTATCGATAGCGTAGGAGATTTAGCAGCTCTCTTCATAGCAAATATGTTTTTATCTGTAAAGTTGTTTGATGTCCATTCTTGCAGATCTCCTGCTCAAGATTTCTACTGCTCATTTCTTTTCCAAATTTTGTAATTAGTTGGAACGGAAATGCTCTTCCTTAGGAAGGCTTTTGATATGACGCTTGTATTATATACAATTTCTTTTCACTCATGCTATTGATTTATCAGTTAATATCATTTAATGACATCATTGTTTGCTATAAAGATCTTTAGTTTTACCTGCTTCTATCTGATCAAGGTTTGTGCAGGTAATAATAATGACAATTGACTGGTATCCATTATCTGCCTATGTTTGCAGACGTTCCTCTACCAAATTCTTCGTGGCATAGCTTATTGTCATTCTCATAGGGTTCTCCACCGAGATTTGAAGCCACAAAATTTGCTGATTGATCGTCGCACTAATGCACTGAAGCTTGCAGATTTTGGACTGGCTAGAGCATTTGGTATTCCTGTTAGGACATTTACACATGAGGTATCAATGAGTGCTAGATATATATTTATCTTTTTGTTGCTTAATGGTGCTTGGTTATAGTTGTTACTGTAAAACTGATTACAAAATTCTAAAAATGTAGGTTAAGTTAAGGCAGGATCCTTTAGTAATAATTTGCATTTCAACTTGTGTAACTACACTGTTTCCCTCTTTCAATGCAAGCTAGACGTTCGAATGTGTGAAAAAATAGGTTTATGGGAGTACAGAGGAACAAGTTAAGAGTGTGTTTTAGATTGTTTACTTCTAACTTTTAAGTTGCTCTGTAAGTACCATGTTTCAAAATTTTTTTTGCATGAAAAATAAGCACCTCATTCTAAATTTTCATGTTCTTATTCTTTTTGTTTAACAAATTTACTTAACCCTCTTGATACCACTTAAAATTAACAATATATAAAAGAATGTAGATTATAAAAATATTTGTGATAGATATATATTTTGTTAATTTTTTAACGAGAAAATAACAGTTTATTTTTTACAATTAAAATTTTATTGCTAATTTTTTTAAAAGAATTTAGAATTACTTATTTTATACTTATAAACGGTTTTAAGCACCTTGTTTTAATCTCTCAATTTGCTAACTTTAGACATAAGTTCTTAAAAGCGACTTTAAGAAGTTGATAAGCATCTCATTCATATCCTTTTAGGTTCTTATTTTTTGATCTAAAAAGTTTACTTAACTACCCGCTTTGTATCCGTTTAAAATTAACAATATATATACTAATATAAATTATAAAATGTTTGCAATATATACTTTTTTTTTATTTTCTTTTAATAAATCTTTATTTTTATAATATTAACACTTTACCGTAATGTCTAACTGTTTATTCTTTCAAATGAAAATTTGTCTAAGTAACTTAAAACACCCTACTGCTTTAAGTACATTTCTTTAAGCAATCCCATCAACCCTATTGACCTTATTGCCTTAAACACATTTCTTTCAGCATTTCCAGACACCCTCTAAAATATTGTAGATGCCTAACAAGGCAGGTCATACAATGGATATTCCTTCATGAATATCAATCAGTACCAGAAACAAAATTTTCAATTCGTGCTGTGAGTGTATTGGATTTATGATTATTGTTGATTCTCTCTAGGTGGTGACCTTGTGGTACAGAGCACCAGAAATTCTTCTCGGATCCCGACATTACTCTACTCCAGTTGATGTGTGGTCGGTGGGATGTATATTTGCTGAGATGGTTAACCAGCGACCATTATTTCCTGGGGACTCTGAGATAGATGAATTATTCAAGATTTTTAGGTACATCAAGTTGTTTTCTTCTTTTTGCATGAGAAAAAGATGGACACTATTTGCATCATTATCTCTAGAAGTTGATGAGTCATATCCATTTCGAAGTTCATTTGTCAAAGAATTGTTCATTTATGCAATTGTTTATGCAAATTTCATCCTTTTTGTTGAACTTTTGAACAATTTTTGTGTGTGCTTATCAGGCATTTGTTGGATTCATCTAATGCATTCTTAATCATCTAATCAATTAATGTATGGGATAAAGTTGATGTGTTTCTTGACAGTTTAAATATGTAACAATGTAAGAACTAAATCTGTGAGGATTTCTATTTTGTGTTTCTATGCAAATTCTTATGTGAAAATGATTGTTGTGCTCTGAAATTGTTTATCCTCGGCAATACTGGGACAATTGTTGTCTGTGGGCTCTTAGGTATCAGTAACTTCAACCTTTTTCTATTTCCGTATTCACTAGTTATTTTCTTGTATATTTGTTGACAGCAGAGTAGAAGAGGAATATTATAAAAAATTTTGATTGCTTAGAACATGATGAACATTATTTTGAAACTGACACAAGATTAGGATGGGCAACGTTATTGACTAGTTGACGTATCTTAGATGTTTTATGTTAGGCTGGTAAAGGAATTGCTAGCTTTGACGAAAAATGATGGCATTGGCTGATTGGTGATTAGCTTTGCAATTTTTTACATATCAACTTCTCAAATATAATTTACTTGTTAAGAAATGAAAGACAAAAATGTTAAATAGGAATAAAACTGTTCAATTTAATGGAGCATCTGAACATCCCATCTAGGAATGCACCTGTTAGGAAGGAAAAAAAAAGATGCCATAGGAGTACAAAGTTTTCTTCCTGATGTGTATTAATATTGCTATGTTGACAATATATTGTGTTTTTTCTTCATGAGTAGGGTCCTGGGCACCCCAAATGAGGACATGTGGCCTGGTGTGACTTCATTGCCTGATTTTAAATCTACTTTTCCCAAGTGGCCTCCTAAGGTACTTGTTTCCCATTACCTTTCACAATCAATAACTTACAAGCTATTTAATGTTCTTTGGGAGAGTTTTCCAATTGATACTATCTTAACTTGCAGGACTTGGCAACTATTGTTCCAAATCTTGATGCAGCTGGCATTGATCTCCTTTCTGTAAGTATAGTGCATATATTTATTTTGCTTGAATCTCTTGGCATCACTATATTAGGCTCCTATTATTTTTTATCTCACATTTGGTTCATTGTATAACATATGAATATGACATAAATGTACTAGTTGTTATGTGGGAGAGGGTTATTTATTTAATTTTGTTGAAAAGTAGGCAACTGTGCTAAAAGTTTATTACATTGTTTGGTTTGTGAAATGAAGATCACTTTCTAAGTGATCCCTAAAAAAATTGTAATCCTATTTTATGAGTTGGGTTCATGAATCGGGATTACCACTACTGATTAATGTGAGTTCTAATTAGTTGATTAATTTTTTAATTATTAAAATTAAGTATCTATCAAAAATTTTTGTTATGTTATGGTTTAATATTTGATAAAAATTTAAATTAATTTAAGAATTATCTTTCAAATTTAGTGTAAAGAAAAAATTTCAAGATGATTCAGTCATTGGGAATTTTATTATTTTATTAAATTAAAATAATACAGAAGGAAAATCAAAATGTTGACTATATAATTTTGTTAATTAAAGATATTATATAACATTTTATCACTTTGTCATGTAAAATAGTATATAAAATTTTAATATATAGATGTAACATATATATTTTTAAATAAATTCAATATATGGGTATTATAGTTATCGCAACTTGTTACAGTTTTACTATGGAACCAGGTATTGTAATGGAGTTGTAATGAATTATTACTGATTTCGAAGCAAGCACCATGATATTATTCAGTGTCATTGCATTTCTGTTGAATAGCTATAGTGTTCAGCTTTATTCTAGTCAGGGCACCAAAGGTGCTGTTAGTTTGCTCTAGAAATTTATTTTCAACTTGAACTCTCTCTTTTCAAGTTCTTGTCGTCCTTCTTCACCAATCGCCATGATATAGTTGGGAAGCAACCTCCTTTTTCTTCCCCTAATGTAACTCCAAAAGCTAGCATCCGAATCTCAACTTCAATGTCTGTGGTTGCATTGTTTCTATGAAGTGAATTCGTGTTAAAAATTGCTAGGAATGTTGAGTTTGCTAGCCATCATCAGCAAAAGAACAGCTTAAGAAGAGTTTGATCTTGCTGTAAAAATTCTAAAAAGCCCTTCCATTTCTCGTTTCACCCCTGTAAGATCAGAACTTATCATGAATTGAAACTTTGTGCCTGCTAGATCGGATCTCGACTTTAAGCAATCATCAGGGATGAACTCATTACACAACAACATTAATACATGTGTTACAAAATCCAAACTTGGAATGATTTAATTTGAAATTCGTTTATGTTTCAGAAAATGCTGTGTATGGATCCCAGCAGGAGAATCACAGCAAGAAATGCTTTGGAGCACGAGTACTTCAAGGACATAGGGTTCGTACCCTGATTCTGATTTGTGCACCTTTGCAATTGGAGGAATGTCTATATATATATATATCGTGGTTGTCTAGCAATTCTTTTTGGGGCTTTGATTGTGGTGTTTTCAGCTGCAGTTTTCTGTAATTCTCATGAACCAATATAGTATTCAATTGAACTAGCCTAGTCCTCTGCATTTGCCTTTGGAAAGTCTAGCGTCTCTTCTCAGTCTACCCCTTCTTTCATCGTCTAGCAGATATATATATATGCACATATATCTTCATATAACTGGCATTTTGCCTTATCAGATTAGTGGCAACTGATATTTTTGCAGTGGAAAATTCAAAGTTCAATGTTGCTTCACTTGATCCTTGTAAATGGGTTTTCTCCTGACAATGGAGGAATAGCTTCATCTTGGGATCCCTCCATTTTTGCCGCACTTCTATATCTGTCTTTGCCTTTAGAAAATAAAATATTTGGTCAAAGCACCAAAAAAGATAGTGCTAAAAACTGATTTTTTTAATAATTAAATTTTATTAATTTCAGATTTTACCATTTTATTGATTTAATAATTTTTTTAAAAAACATATAATATTAATTTTATTATTGAAGATTTTATATGTATTAATTTTTGACTGAATTTCCTATTACCTTTTAAATTTATTTATTTTTATAATTTGATCTACCCGATTTGATGAGGACAAGTTATATTATAACGAATTTTTTGATTATTTTGTTCTTAAACCGAGAAGTCGATAAATAAATAAATATTTGATATAATTTAGTCCGAAGCATTTGTTTTAATCAAAATTTTCAGTCTAGGTTGAAATATTATTAAACCCGTATTTTTAATCATTAAATTCAATAATTGACATAAATGATAATTTATTTAAATGAAAAATATTATTATGGTATAATTAGAAACTTTGGTCGAAAGTAGTTTTGGTAAGTGTTATGTTCATCAAATTATAGAGAGAAATAAAATTGCATTAGTTTTATAATAATTCCTGTTAAAGTTAGTCAAAATTCTATTTTAAAATTTAAACAAAAATAAATTATTTAAATAAGAAGTGGGAAATTACAAATTCTAACTTTTTTTTAGAAAAAAAATTCTTATTTTAATCTATTTAATTTAATTAATTAATAATTATTTTATTAGAACTAATAATATATATATATATATATATATGTCTAGGAATAATTTGCAATGAAATCACAGACGCACTCTCTCATATCTTTTGCTTTTTTTTTTTGAAAAAGAGAGAGAAAAAGACTACTCATACAAAAACCTCATGGAACAAAAACATAAACACTTGGTATAACCTGCTAGAATTTGAAGCTTCTCCTTCCATGGAAACCCAATCAAATTTTCATACTTCACATCCTGCTTTTCCCATTTCAGCTCTTGTCATCCTAACCATTATTTTCACAGCTTTCTTGCTGATCAGCTCCTACATGTTCTTGAGCAAATTCTGCTCTAACTCCCACCAACTAATTAATCTCCTCATCAGACGTACTCTATCTGTTTTCCACCATGAAGATGATCATGATGATCCCTTCATTGCTTTCTCTCCATCAATGTGGAATCACGGCCTTGAAGATTCAATCATTTGGGATATCCCAACTTTTCGATTCACCAGAAGAAGATATGATGATCAGGAGAGGAGAATCTATGGCTGTGTGGTTTGCTTGAATGAGTTTGAAGAAGAAGATAGGTTGAGAATTCTTCCCAACTGTGGCCACATTTTCCATTTAGATTGCATCAATATCTGGTTTCAAACAAATCCTAATTGTCCTCTCTGCAGATTAAGCATTTCAGGCACAAACCCATCACACCCAATTCATATCATTGCACCAAGTTCTTCCCCACAGGATAATTCACATTCATTTACAGGTACTGATCTTGTGGATAGCGACGATGATTTTGTAGTGATAGAAGTCGGAGGAGAAGATAGGCGAGGTGTTTTGTTAGATGGAGAAATGGAGAGGCAGAGATCAGAAATGATTTCAAGGCAAGAAATGACTCCAAAAAAGGTGGAGGAGCAGATCAAGATGACAAGAAAAAGCAAACATGTTTCGATAATGGGAGATGAGTTTATTGACCTTGTAAGGGAGAAAGATGATGAGTTTTGTATTCAACCCATCAGAAGATCTTTCTCTTTGGATTCTGCAATTGATCAGCAGCTTTACTTGACTGTTCAAGCCATGATTCAGCAGAATTACAGGCATGGAAGAGAGATTATAAGCAGTTAGCAAATTAGAGAGTGCTGGTGAAGTAGCGAAGTTATTGTTTTGCGTTGGGAATGGGGGATGATCAAGAAAGTTAATTTAGTTTATGAAATTTTTCTTGTTTTTCAAGAATTGTGTCTGGTTTTGGCGGTGACAATTAATCAAAACTGGGAGTGATTGAGATTGCAGAAGGTGAAAAGAGTAAAGAGGGGTTAGAATATTGCTTGAGCAAGAATGTGGGAAAAATGGAATGATTGTTTCTGGATTATGTTCATTCACTTGTAGAGTTTCTTCCTCTTAATGAGTGATCATGATTGGTTTCAGTGCTTCTTTGTTTAAAGTGAATAAACAATCACGTGCACACAGGGCTCTACACACATATATGTATATGTATACATATATATATATATAAACGAACATATATAATGATGGTGGTGACTGGTGAAAGGCAGAAGCTATAATTTTGCTTAAAGTGTAAGCATTCTCCATGCATTTTCAAAGAAGCTATAACTTATGGTTCATACTGTTTGAGTTAAATTGTACTTTCATATTAATTTTCATTTTGAGATTATTTATGTTACTTTGCATATATATATATATATATATATATATATATGCATTATATGCTCAGTAGAGAAAAATTTGCATTTATTACTCTTTGTTAATTACATCCTCATCTGGGTCTTTTATAATTCACTGTTAATTACTATTTTATCATTAATGTTGAAAGCACTATTTTTATTTTGAATATTAAATGAAAAAATTAATTAATTTATTTCAAATATTAAAAATATTAATAACGGGTATATTAGCCTTTTTAATTCTATTTCAGTTCTGTTTCTGTTTAATTTCAAACATTTGAACCAAACCCAAACCAAGAAGTCAATAAGAAAATGAAAATATACCAACACTGCATATCAGTATAGCCAATACCAGCATAAGAAATGCACTGATGTTGGTGGGTGCATCTTATAGAATCACCAAGACAAATACACAAATCTCCTGTTCTCCTAATTCTCATAAATCTACTCCCTAAAATGCCGTATATATATATATATATATATATATATATATCAGTATATGGTACATAGCATCTGATAAAAATGCCAAATAATGCTATATGGGCTTACTGGAAGAAAACTGCCATGGTTACCTGGTTGAAAGTTTTGCAACTGGTTTTTCATTATCAGGATGATTTGATTGTGCATTTCTAGCTGAAATACTAGTCTGGGGCAATGGCAAGGCTTTTATAGGAAGCCGGCTAGTTGATGAACCACGAGCCTTTATCTTTAATTGTTCAAGTAGTCGTTTGGCTTCCAAAAGTTCACCTTGACCACTCGGTCCATGGCTTTCCCAGGCATCAATTACGCGCTGCTGGAATTCCATTGCAAGGGTATAGCTGCAAACCCAAAAAAGGGATAAAAAAGGTTAGACTTTAACCAACAGCAAAATTATAAGATAAACAAAAATACAAAAATTCTTTTTACTTAGGAAGAACAGGAAACAAGCTTATTCATCACCATCTCAAGTCACATAAATGCAATCATGCGACATAATAAGTCTTGTATTGATGCACCATCACCATGTATATAAATAGGTTGAAAAACTGTTCTTTGAAATTCTGAAGTGTGATATTCACCTCATTTTGGCTCATTTCTACAGAGATGCACCACGTCTATCACTTTCATCTATCAGCATCTCCAGGTTTTGTATCTTTCTACTTCCTTGTGTTTAGTTCTTTCGCAATTAAGGATTTAGCTTCCCTTAGTCAATCTACTTCCTTTTTCTGGCCCCAAGTAGACATTGCCGTTTATTTTCATAACTTGACTCCTATGACTATAGGATTTAGCTTACCTAACTCTACTTATTTCAATCTTAAAACTCATGACTTGATCCCAATCCCAGGACTGTAGTAGGTAGGCAAAAAGATGAGAGATTACTCATCCATGTTCTCATAGAAAATATTCCAAACTGTGATCAAGAGAGTAACTGTATCAAGAAGGAAGTTCATTTTGTTTCACAGGTGGGCCTAATATTACAAGCAAAGGAAATTGTTATCCAAGAAATGTTTCCTGGCATAAATCTCAGGCAGAGTATGAAAGAATTATCGAAGAGAAGGAAATGCATAGATAAATTTTTCTTTTTACAGACTGTAAAGTTTGACCTCATGCTTAGAGTTTTATCTCCCACTTAACCTTTATGTTGCCTTCAATTGCATTCAGCAGTTCAATAACTTGGTCCTCAAACTCATCAAGGCCAACCCTAATAATCAACTTATCTTAGCTACATTGTTCATTACCAGTGGTGAAGCGTCAACCCAAACTTTATCAGCTATGGAAGAGAAGTTACAACCTTCTTCAAACTGGAGTTGCTCACAATCTCAACAAAAGGTTGTTGCTTCGAGTCTCCATTAATGCCCATACCAATAAAGAACGAAATCAAGACCTTGCGAGCTAGACAAGAAGCCCTGAAGACCATTGGTGAAATCTTGAGAAAAGAAAACCAAGAAGAGTCATGATTTTTCTTGAAAACATAAGAGCAAGACTTGGGTTGAGGATATTTTACGAGGGCCTTAATGGGTCCCCACAGCCTCATTGGCTTCATAACCTTAAGAGATAAAGATTCTCTTATGTGATTCAACCCCCCAAAATGCTTAGTGCTCAAGAACTTTTGTCCCTTATTCGATCCTAAGGCTAACCATAATGCATTCCCTTCATGCTCTTAACCACGAGCTTTCTGATTTTCTCAAGTGAAATTTGCTGGAGGCATTGGCAAGCACACCCCACCTCAACTAACCCAAAAAATGGAGGATTGAGTTTCACTATCATTCTCACACTCTCATTGAGTCAACTGCTCCACCATAACTTAAAATCAATGACTAGAAAACTCCAGTAAAGAAGAGGCATGGGTGACGAAAGGCCAATAGACCATAAGGGCTTCCTCTAGAAGAAGGAAGACTAAAATTTTCTCAAGAGAGAGAGAGAGTTTTGTCAAGGATACCATACAAAACAAAACAATTAAATTAGACATTTTTATCAAGTTGTAATTCTACATGAAATTTAATCCAATCTATTGGATTTCATCAAAAACAACATCTTTAAATTTTAAACGTAAATTTCTCAAATGATGCATTTAGTTTTAGTTTTTTTAGTTTTTTAAAAGACTAATTTACTTTATTTGGTACCAGTCCTTACCATTTACACTAGTCCTTGTGAACAGTTTTAATCAATCCAATCAATTTCTTTACCAGTATTCTATCCAAGGCAGAATCCTATCTACCATACCGCTACTATTAATAAGGCAGTAAACCACATACTGGCTGGTATACAGCACAATATTGACTATGCTGATACTGGGACCTCTTAGAGAGTTCGAATAACTTGCAAACTCTTCTTTTTTACATGGGGCACCAGTATTAATTGAAATCTCAATCATTAATGAATAAATAAAAGAAGTAATGAATGAACCAAGAAAAGATTCTTACCTTCCAATGGCACCATATGCTTTAGAAAGGTTCTGGCATGCTTCAATTGCATCAGCATGATGAGGACCCAGTGAGACATCCATGATGTCCTTTGCAACAGCAAACATCTGGGCTGCAGACTGAGGTCTATCTAGTTCCAGATATGCTGCCCCCAAATTGTTATAAATATATCCAACTCCAAAATGCTTGGGACCAAAACTTTCTTTCAGTCTCTCTGCTCCACTCTCCAAGTAAGGAATCGCTTGAGCCACCTTACCTGTCAACAAAAGTAACCAACCTATCCTAGCGGAAACACTTCCCTCAGAGTGTTGCTCCTGAGGGAGTTTCTCAAGTAGAGCCAGAGTCCTCTTTAACAATGAAATTGCAGTCTCAAACTCATTCATAGTCTCATACTGCAACGAAATCTCAGAGTATGCCTCTGCAACCTCCACAGGAGAGGTTGTCTCTTTTTTGTCAAGAATTCCACAAGCAATCTCCAAACACCTCTTGGAGTCAGCAAACTTTTCCTGGTTAGATAATGCCTTTGCCATTGATATAAACACTGATGCTCTGGTCTCACTATCTTTATCTGTCTGGTGGACAACATCCTTCAAAGTTTCGATAGCCTCATCATACCTTCCCAAAGCAATCTGCATATTTGCAGCATCAATCTCAGCACGAAGCAACTCGGAACCAAGACCCCAGTTCTTCAGAACTTTCTGAGACAACTCATTCTGCTCTAATGCCTTCTCATGCTCCTCCAACCCACTATAGATAACTCCAAGAAGCCTCCTATCATGAGCAACCTCAACTGAATTGTTTCCCAATCCTTTCTTATGTATCTCAAGTGCTTTTAAAGCAAAGGGCAATGCTTCCTGAAAATTCAAAACTGTAACATAAGCTTCGGCCAAATCCCTATTAGCCACGCCTAGTTCCCGGCTATCTTCCTCCAACGTCATCTCCTTAATCTCCAAGCACTTCTTGAGATTCACAAGAGCCTCCTCCCTCCTTCCCATTGCTGTCTTTGCATTAGCCAACTCTAGCTGCACTGCATGCAGAACCGGCCTAACATCCTCAGCATTAAGACCCTCTTCCTCTAACGTGCCTAATATCCTATTAGCCCTATTAAGATAACCCAAACAGTCATTAAACCTTTTCAAGTTATAATTAGCAGAACCCATCAATTGCAGAGCCATGGCAACGACCAAAGAAGGCTTATCACCATTATCCAAAGCTCTCAAAGCTCGATCAGCAAAAGAGAGAACCTTTGCAGGGTCTTCACCTTCTTGGTCAAGCTTGAGACCGACTTTCAAAGAAGCCAAGCCGAGTTCTCTTTCATCAAAAGATGCTTCCATTTTTTTGAAAGCCTTCAGCATTTCTTCCGCGGTTTGTGCAGACTCGAAGGCCTCTTCAAGGTCGGATTTTTGCTTCACTTTCCTCTGTCTAGAGGACAACTGTACTGACTCTGCAAGAGTGTCGAGATTCCGAGATGGGTTTGCTAGAAATCGGTTGGGTTTGAAGATTAAGCCATGGGACTTGGAACAAGTTCCGCTGCAATGAGCAGGAGAGAGAAGTGAAGAAGATGAAGTGAGAGGAGGATCAGAAACATAATTTCTGGATGAAAGAGGATGAATTGGTCTGTGCTTATGACGAATTAAGAGAGAAAACAGAGAAACTGAGGCTCTTTTCATGGTAAGACTTGCGAGGTTCTTGTGATCGTCTTGCGTTTGTAGTTTGAGGTTTTGCTAAAACCCTTGCTACAGGAAGAAACTCTCTTATACATATATAGATATAGTAATAACTATCATTTTTTATAATTAAAATTTGTATTAATTAATTATCATGTATCTATATATATATATATTTTTTTTTTGCATAAAAATCAATAATTTAGGAGAAAAATATGAGGGAAATGTTATTTTAATATCATAATAAAACATTTAGCGAAAAAATTTCAATAAAATTTCACTAAAGAATTCTTATATGTTAATTGTAGAAGTACGATTTATTTAAAAAATAAAAATTAACATCATAGAGCCCAAAGCATCTATTTGAACATGAGAGAAAGTATACTCTTTTACTTGCAACCCTAATATGCTCTTGATTGTCTAGTAAAATTTTTTGGAGAAAATAAACTTCTAATTTTATTATTTAGAAGATATATATAGAGTGATTATTTTTATTATACCATTAAAACTCTAACTAATATAATATTCTACTTAACATGAAATTCTTATCAACACTTCCCTTCAAGTTGGCGCAAAGATATCACACATGCCCAACTTGCAAATTAAGTTCTGAAGAGATTTGTTACATAGTCCTTTAATAAAAATGTTAGTCACCTAGTCGTCAGAAAATATATGATATAAGTATAGAGAGCCACTAACCATCTTCTCTTTTATGAAGTCTTGATCAATCTCAATGTGTTTTATCTTGTCATGTTGAACTGAATTATGAACAATATTAATTGTTGTTTTATTATCACAAACCAGAGATAATTTCTCATCTTTAAACAGTTTTAACTCCCTTATTAGCTTTTGTAATCATAGTAATTCACATACTACTTGGATTATTTTCTATATTCTGACTCAGCACTGGAGCGAGCAACCACACTTTATTTCTTATTTTTCTATGTGATTAAGTTGACTCCTATAAGTGTGCAGTAACCTGTAGTTAATCTTTTATCATCTAGGAACCCAACCCAATCGATATCTGTAAATGTTTCTATTTTAAGGTAACCATACTTAGAAAAGAGCAGATATTTTTCTAGTGCAGACTTCAATTATCGTAATATGCAGAAAATAACATGTAAATGAGTCTCTTGAGAATCATGCATGTATTGGCTCACAAGACTAACTGCATATGCTATATCAGGTCTGGTATGTAAGAGATAAATGAGTCTTCCAATTAATCTTTGGTATCTTTCCAAGTCAACTGATGTACCATTATCTGCTTGCAATTTGTGGTTGCACTCAATATGTGATTCTACCAGCTTGCAACCCATCATACCAGTCTCTTATAGTAAGTTAATGATATACTTCATTTAAAAAACAAAGATCCCTTTATTGGATTTGATAACTTCAATCCCCAAGAAGTATTATGATTTTTCTAAATCTTTTATCTTAAACTCTTAATCAAGAAATTTTTTCAATCGAGTTATCTCCTTTGTGTAATCTCTAGTCACCACAATATCATTTATATAAACAATGAGAAGAGTGACTTTACCCTCACGATATTTGATAAACAAGGTATGATCCATTGCTTTGTTGATATCTAAAAGAAATCGTAACTTTTCTAAACCGTTCAAACCATATTCTTGGAGACTACTTCAATCAGTATAAGATCTTTTTTAATTGGCAAACTTTTCCTTGCGTCCTCTCATCTTCAAATTCAGGTAGAATTTTTATGTACACCTCTTCCTCTAAGTCTCCATGGAGGATTGTATTTTTTACATCAAACTGCTGTAGATCTCAATCAAAGTTAGCTGCGTAAGATAAACGTATTCTAATTGTATTCATCTTCGCAACAGATGCAAATATCTCCTGATAGTCAATCACATAGGTCTGAGTAAATTCTTTAGCCAGCAATCTACCTTTGTACCTTTCATCGATATGTCTGTTTTATATTTTATGGTGAACACCCATTTGCAACCAATTATCTTTTTTTCCTGTGGAAGTGAAACAAGTTCTCATGTTTCAGTCTTTGTCAATGCTTTTATTTCTTCAATCATAACTTTCTTTCACTTAGGATCTCCTAGAGCTTCTCTTCAATCATGTGTAATAGACATAGAGGAAATAGACAAGACAAAAGATCTATAAGAGGGAGATAAAGAGTCATAGAAAATAAAGTTAGATATAGGGTGCTTAGTGCAAGTTCTCATTTTCTTTTTAATAGTAATAGGTTTATTTAATAAATCACAAAAGAAAGATAACTCACTAGTATCTTCTGGAACTAGAGAAGATTCTTGACCTATAACACACTGCATGATAGTTTTTTCAAACTTTTCTATCATTGAATACCTTTTCAAGTCTGCTTTATCTAGACATCCAACATTATTTTCTTGTTTAAAACTTTCTGCAATAGAATTTTTATCCTGAATATGACTCTCAATTATTACCCAATTAAGTATCACTTCTTCCTTTTCACTCTTCCTCTGATGAGGTGTTGGGTTTGAGTTGAAGTAAAACTCATTCTCCCTAAAGATAATATTCATAATTATAAATTATTTTCTAAATGGTGGATGATAATACTTGTAGTCTTTTTAAGTAGAAGAATATTCAACAAATACACACTTAAGAGTTCTAGATTCTAACTTGTCCACATTTTTTATATGAACAAAATCACACACATCCAAATATTTTTTGGGAACAATTTAGGAATTTTTTCCTTACAAAACCTTTATAGGACTTTTAAAATTTAGGATCCGCAAAGACATTCTATTAATAAGATAAACAGTTGAGAGAACTGTATTCCATATTTTTTTGGCAGTGTTAAACAACACATATGTTCTAACAATATAAAGTTGCATAAAATTTATGAGCCATGACATTACCAATGATCTCTCAAAGTCCCATCTATTATATTTTAAACTACCAACATCTGGTTTCTTCACCTCACCAGTAATGTAGCCCTGCAATCCTTTACATTTGATGAATAATAAATAAGATCTCGACCAAGTAACATAGCTAGTTCCATCAAGTTTTACGGGATTGATTTGTAATGAAAGACATGCAAAGCTAGTAACACTCACATTTTTTGCTTTTGTCATCTTAGAATGCTAAAAATAAGAAGAAAAAAAATAGTAGTAATAAAAAACAGACCTCCTCCTATCTACACCAAAGAGCCAAAAAATGACAAAAATAATTGAAAAAAAAAAACAAAACCAGATCTGGCTCGGCTAAGCTCATCTTGGCATTGGCTCGTACACGGACAACTCTGCTCAGGCGCGGATGGATCAGGTAGGAGTGGTCCGACGCGCGAAATGGCCACACCAGAC